GAAGTGACCCAGGGTTCCTTGCAGCGGGCCCAATTTTAGGCAGAGGGTTTAAATAGCTTATTTATTATTTTGTATAATCTGGCGTACATTATGTGCTCACGCACGTGTCGTGTTTCATGGTCTGCAGTTTCTAATGTCATGTGGGTTTCAAAACCTGTGTTTCTCTGGTAATGTAGTAGCAGCAGGTAAGCTCAAAATACCATCCATCAGGAGCTAATTTTTTATCCAGATACTCCAATGACTGATGAACCTGTCTTTTGTGTGAATGTTGAGCACAGTAGAAGGCCATATGCCACTGGCACGGTTTCCTCTGCATTCTTTACAGTTGCTAGAGAGTGGGCTTCCAAGGGGGAACAAACTCGACGCCATTGGTGTCCTCTCGCCTATATTTACACGACAGCACCTTAAAGCAGCCCTGGGTTTGATTGACAAAAGGGAGTAGGGGCCGTCTTAAAGGAAACCTGACTCCCATAATGATTTTCTTTATCAGAGATATGGCTGCACACTCTTCATGGGGAACCTTGTTTTGTTCCTCCCCGTCTGTTGCAAGCAGACCTCAGCCCATTAGAAGGGCCTCCCTTGTGTGGGAAGCCACAGCTGTTACTGTAAATCTCATCCAGTCACTGTATCACCCCCATTTTGTGGCTCTGAAGGATGAAATTGAGAAATGGAATACTGTGCAGTCATCCTTCACGTCTCCAATTTGAGGCCTCTGCCATCATTTTCATGCTTTTATTCCAAATCAAATAACATTAGTGGGCGACACCCCCTTCTGATCAATACCTGGTCGCAAGTGCAGCTTTCAAGCCTCCGCTTTTGGGGTCCTCCTTTTATGTTGGGTGGAGATCCCCCCTCTCCTTCCTCTCCTGCACCTCCTTTGAGCTTCCTGAGGGGCGATGGCAGTTCGCTGTCTGAAGGATACACGTTGCCAAATGTGTCCCAGTCCCTGCGTGTTTTCCGAGAGAGGCCACGTGCGCGGGGAAGTTCTGTCTTTTAATCTTTGTGGAAGGAGTGAAGAGGACTTGGTAGAAGGAGATTGGGGGCTTTAATCAGAAACAAGATGTGGCTTAAATCATTAGCACAACAAAGCATACTATAAGCTTCAAGATAAAAGTCTCTGGGGAAAGAGTCCTCTGAAAATAAATGGAACTTGATAGATTTCCATATCATTTATAACTTCCCTTAATTACACTTGGAAGACTTGCCAGTAAAACTGGAAAATTGGCAGCCTCTATCCATTAGAGTCATTTTGCCGACCATGGCAAGCAGCTGGCTTTACTGGATTTTATTTCCCATCACTCACAATTAATCATCAGCTGGAGATGTCTGAAACTCTTCAGCACAGAGCGATGCTGGGTGACGTGCAGGCCCCTAAACATGCGAAAATCTGCTGAGTAAATGGGCCGAGTTCTCTCTCCAGCCTACTCATTCGGGGGCAAGGCTGGCTCCCGCTTAATGAGTGCCGCTCTGATAATCGGATGCGAATGTGAACCTTGACCCCGTGTCAGGGGAGAGGACGCAATAAGCCGGATGAAAGATATAGGATTCGGGCCTCCAAACTTTGCACCAATTAGACAGGGAGCGGGGAAATACATCAGGCGGGCTGGGCTCATCAGAAAGACTTTGCAGGCTTGTGACCATTTAGTAAGCCCAACACTGGAGACATCCTGTCACAATCATTAAGTCTTTATCAGATGATTCACAAAAGTGTTGGAGAAGCGTGCGCACATGCTGCAGGAGCGGGGCCTGCCATGCACACTGCTTGCCCAAGCCTGCAGGTCCCGGTGAGCCCAGCTAATGCCCAGCTCCCCAAGCCCTCAGGGAGGCCCAAGGTGCTGCCTCCACCGGCCTCTGCCCAGCTCCCGTGTGGCGTGCTCTTGTGGGGACAGTGTGGGCCACGAGCTCCGGGGCCCCAGATGAGAGCAGGGTCTCACCAGAGCCCGGAGATGCTGCTTAGGGGGGCCTGGGCCTGGCTCGGGTCCACCCAGACCCTGAGCACACCGCCCAGGGACAGCCGCTGCCCAGAGGCTGGCCGCACGTGGTTTGTTTCCACTGCACTCTCCGACGTGCAGTCTGCACTGTGTGTGTTTCCCCGACTGGATTTTTGGGAGATGAAATATGTTGAAATTGGATGAAGCCCATGTGTGGACCTGTGTGTTTGTGGACGTGTGTGCTTGTGTGGAATGATGCTCTGAGAACGCTGCGGGGTGGGTATCAGGGACTGATTTCTAAGAGCTACCTCTTAGGCATGGGTGAGAGCAAACACTTTAGGAAACAGATAAAGCCGAGGGGAGATACGGTGACTCAGGTTTTCATTTGAAGGTAAATCATGAGGTAAGTATGGCCACGGACACAGGGAGAGGACCTGGGGAACAGGCAGGAAAGGCAAGGAGAGCCCTGGTCACACTGTGTACTGCAGTGCTGCGCTGGTCGGGCAGAAGACAGGATTCTTTTGTATCAGGACGTACTTTCTCTGGTGTGTGTGTGTGGGGGGGGGGTGTCCTTTTTTTTCCATGCAGCACTGGGGGTCCGACCCAAGGCCCCGAGCATGCTAGGTGAGCACTGTACACTGAGCAGTACCCCTGGAGCCTTTTGACTTCTTTTAATCACCTGTTTCAGTCAGAGGGACTTGTAATTTTGGGTTTTCCCACTTCTGATTGTCTGGCTACATCAGAGTCTTTGGACTTCTGCTTAATGATTTGGGACCTAGCCCTTGCAGTCACCTCTTCACAAATGGTCCATGTTATGAGCACCCGAGCTAGCCAGGGCCAATGGCCGATGAGAAGTAATGGCAGAGCCCATACTCGTTGTCCACCCCCTGTGCCCAGGCTGCAGCAGGGCCTGGAGGGCAGTTGTGGCTGGGCCTAACTGGCCTTGAGCATGTTTGCTATGGGAATCATTGTCAGGCTGGCCTTTGCCCCTTGGCATGACCACTGTCTCCCGTGCAGGCTTCATTTCTCACTCTTATTTGCAGATCTGTTTAGGGAAGCAGCAGGGGCTCCCTGACTTCCTAGCAGACCCTAGCAATGGGATGAGTGGGGACGGGTAGTAGCAGGGGTACAGCTGCTGGCAGAGGACTGAGGCTGTGCCCACCCACCCAAGCTGAGGGGCAGGGGTGGACAGGGCTCTAAGCCAGCTCTAGGCTCTAATATCCACGGAGGAAGACAGAGTGGGTGGGCGTGTGGGAGGCCAGCACGCAAGTACCCGTGGCAGGGACTTGTCCATCTGCAAAGGGCATAGTGACCGGAGCCCAGAGGTGGAGATTGAATCATAATTTTTGGACAGAATTTCCATGGTGTTCTGTTGCAACTCGGGCCCACTTCCAAGGAAGCCACCTGCCTGTGACCTGGGTGCCCAGTCTTTGGGTCAGGGTAGTAGAGTCCTGTTGCTGGCTCTGTCTGGGAGGCTGTGGGCTGGGCTACTTCATGGACCTGCCCTTCTCTCTTTCTTGGTCTCTGCCTTCCTCTGAAGAGAGAAAAAGGACTAAATGATGTGGGGGGGCGGGGTGACTGTCCCAGGGGCATGTGCATCGCCGAGGTACTGCCCTCCCTGTCCCCCTGATCATTGCTGTGCCCCGGGTATGGAATGCAGATGCCAGGTGAGGTGAATCTGCAGTGACAGCGAGCACTGTGCGCTCGGCAGCATGGCGTCTGCGCCGTGCCAGCTCTGGAGCTTTGGCATCCCCTCTCTTCCTATATTTCTGTGCCAGGAAAAAACAGCCCACCACCTGAACAGCAGAGGAAAGAATACCCAGAGCTCAGTCCCAGCCCTGCCAGTGAGACAGCTTGCGCCCCACAGGGGGCCGGGAGGGGACTTGGAGATCACTTGGGGATTGCAGGAAAGAACATTCTCCAAGCACTTGTGCAGCACTGGCCAAGCACAGCCCCAGTGCCCACCAGCACCCTGCAGAGCCCTGGTCCTGCCATTTCAAAGACCCAGAGCCCTTTTCCATAAAGCTAAGAAAAATCTGGCCAGAGAAAAGTGAATAAACAGAGTGGCTTTTAGTCTGCCATTCCTGGGTCGAAGCCCCTGGCTTCACCCCACTGGGTTTAAACCCGGCTCAGCCAGGATTTCCCTCATGATAAGGCAGACATGGGAACCCAGGAAGCCTGAGCAGGGGCCTGCGAACCCAGCTGCAGGCGTTGTCCGGGTGGAGGAAGTGCCTTCATCAGGAGGGGTGTCTGCAGGGGAAGGTGCCAGCCTGCTGCTCCCCAGCACCATCAGCGGAGATGTGCCCATTTTGGTCATGGCTGCACTGAGCTAAACTCACACACAAGGTATGACCCTGTAAAGGGGCAGCTGTCGCTGTCACCATAATCAATGTTAGAACAATATTATCCGTTTCAAAACCTGCACCTGACAGCACTTACGTTGGTGTCGACACCAGTCTTTCAGTTTTGGGAAACTTGCCTATTCTGGACATTTTAGGAAAGTAGAAAAAATATTCCAATTTTGCAGCTAAATTTAAAGGTCCCCAGGGAAGCCCCCACAAGCAATACTCCAGAATCAGGGATTTTTTTTTTTCTAATGAGGACTTGTTGATAGAAGGAAAGATGAACTTGGAATGGGAATGTTAGAGGTCATTCATACATTTCAGTACGTTTGACCAAGAATTCCTTAGTGATTTCATTCTTGGATGTTACTGCAAAGTTAGAGTGCTTTTAAAACTTCAGCTTACTCTTCTTTCATTTTCTAGGTATCAGAAGGGCAGGAAATTTGTGTGATTGAAGCCATGAAAATGCAGAACAGTATGGCGGCCGGGAAGACTGGCAAGGTATGTTCCCACCAGTCCACACCAGCCTTATGACCTTTGAGTCATGGATGGTTTGCCCCGCTAGGGACTGCGGAGGTGACTTCTCTTCCCTGGGGAAGAAGTTAAGATCCAGGAGCTCTTTGCTCTGCACTGTTGCATCCCTGTCTCACAGAGTGGGTTCCAGGAAGTCTGGAAGTCTGTATTATGTTCAGATAGTTAAAGAACAATTGTTCTTCACCTTAATGTCTTTCAAATTAAGGGGTCTTTAATTTTTAATGTTTACATCTGTCTTGGAGGCAGTTAGTTATCTGAGACTTAGGTGACACAGCAGGAAACGGTTTTACAGATTTCAAAAATTAATGTAACTCTTCAAGATAATTTTTCTATGAAGAGAACAATTCAGTTGTAGATCATGAGGATCCGCAGCCCTTGCACACACATGGACCTTAATGATTCAGGGAGACAAGAAGGAGAAAGGTATGACAGTACTGAAATTTGTTAAGAGTGAAACTTCTTGAATATATTTTTTCTTTGAGGAAAACAAAAAGCCTGTGATTCACCTTCTTCCCAGGACTCAGGGGATGCCATTAGTGGAAAATGACCCTTTCTGAAGGTGTCTGGTTTGGTAGTATCTGCACAGTGGAGCATGATCAGCATGACAACAGCAGCAAAGGCTGGCTGTGGCCTGCCCTGTGGCCACACCGTGGGGACTTTGGGTCTAAAGAGAGATCCATCAGTTCACGACCAGGTTTACATCAGAGAGACACACAGCCTCCGTCTGTCACTCCAGAAGTCAAAGGGACTGATTCTCAGAGAAGGACAAGGGGGTTCCCTGTAGCTCCCAGCAGGTAGAGCAGAGGTCCCCATGCACACTGGCCAGCCCTGAGCCGGCTGCCAGGCTGGAGCAGGTACAGGTGGCCCCACCTTGTCAGGGAGGTTTGGCAGAGTAGGAGGGCATGATTTGTGGTGTTTCAGGAATCCTTTCAAAATTTTGATGACATTTAAAAAAGTGGACAAGAAAATGTAGGTTTCTGTTCACATAAAAATTATTCTTTGGGATTATTTAACATTTCTTCTGTGATGATTTGTGGGGGATCAAAAAGGGTGTCAGCTGCAGGCTGAGGGTCCCCGAGTGGCTGGGCTGAGCGTGGCCTCGCTTCCTGCAGCAGTGTCAGCCCCATTGCGTGTCTTTGGATTTCGTCATGGAGCAGTCTCAAGGGGGGCAGGACCCTTTGCCCTCTGCAGCCCAGAGCTGCTTCTCAGGGGCTGCTGGTGTGAGCACTTCTGTGCTTTGGCCCGACCCCTGCTAGCTGGAGTCCCTCTGCACCACCCCCCTGCCCTGGGCCGAGGGAGCCATATTTCCTCCTAGAGAAAGGATTCACAGTGGACAGGGTCTCTACTCTAGTGACTGTAAAACCTCACACATAATCAGAGGAGACATCAGGAGTGTCATTTAGGCACTGCAGTCCAAATGGCATCTGCTGAGAGGGCTTTGGATATTCCTGCATGGGTTCACATCCTTCTTAAAAACTCAGCTCCAGTTTGAGATAAAACATCCTGGCTGGACCCTCACCACGAATGGCGGGGACACCGGACAGCGCACCACCCCAGACATCACTGGCATTTTGGGTGTCTGCCTACGGCCGGTGCTGCCAGTCAGTACAAACCCATTGCACTTTCACACCCAAGTGGCTGCCTCCAGGGAGGCACAGGACCGTCTCCACACACTCTGGCCCTTGGCGAGCACAACTTGACGTAGAGGCTTCTGAAGGTCGCATTTCTCGTCACACGGGGGCTGAGATTGGCCAGGGAGCTTCTCCTTTGCAATAGCATCTATTTGGACTGTGTGTGTGTGTGTGTGTGTGTGTGTGTGTGTGTGTGTATGTGTGTGTGTACATATACAGACGTTCTTTGGGCTGACAAGGACAGAAGAGGTGCAGAGGGAGAGGTGAGGGACATCCTAAGGATCTTCAGGATGCCCCCAGGCCAGAGCTCCCTGGCCCGAAAGTCAGTTCCCTCCAGAGAAGGAGAAGGGGTTGCTGCCTTCGGACTGGAGCTTATGATTCTCTTCTCCCCCATTTTTTGAATTCCAGGTGAAGCTGGTGCACTGTAAAGCTGGAGACACAGTCGGAGAAGGGGATCTGCTCGTGGAGCTGGAATGAAGTATTTATAGCCTTTCAGGCATCACCCGACTTAATTAGCTATTTGTATTATTCTCTCACACTCGATTTAGTCAAGTGTTTCACGGGAACACTCCTGTGCAGCCGGATCTACATCTCGTATTTATTCCACAGAAGAGTCAAAACCGACATTCTGCCAAAAAAATCACCAATGGAAATTTGTATTGATATAAAAACAGTTATACATATGATTTGTACTTCTGTGAGATTTCCTATGATTTGTACTTCTGTGAAATTTCCTGGTGTCAAAATTAAATCAATAAAACCAAGCATTTGTCTAAATATTAGTTTGCCCTTTTTTTCGAATGAAGACAATGTACACATAAGCGACAGGCTGTGCCAGTTGACATAACACTAGCATTCATTGTGATCCCTTTTAGAAATGTGGATTCCAGTTCTCTGTTCCAGTTCTAGTAAATCAGCATTTGCCATCTTATAATCTGATCACCTTCCTTCTTCCGTAATTGAAGACTAACTCCTGGGGCTGATTATCTGTCTTCCTAAGGACGAGGTGGCCAGGAGGACTTCTCAAAACCCCTTCCTGCTGTGATTCTATGCAGGCGCCACGCTGGATGGCGGAGTCCTCAGGAGGTGACTTTGGGGCCCCCTGGCTGAACTGGGCCACAGCCTGCATTGTCCCGAGGACAGGCACAATGTCCAGGTCCCGTCCCCACACCACGGGCTGGGCCCTCGGGCCGTCTCACCCAAGCTCCTCAGCTGACACCCAGCCTTGCCTTTTGTGTTTTGTGAAGCAAGTTTCCAGTTAAGAAAAAGAGGCTAAAAATAATGATCATGTTTTTGTGCCAGATGTAGTTAGCGACCACAGTCTACCATTAAGTTGAAGAGTGAGTGAGCTCCCCAGCCAGAACGAGGCCACTGAGGAGCAGCAGCTGCATTTCCATTTGTTCCGAGTTCTTGGAATCCACCGCAGACTTTGCTGGTGAGCAGAAGAGAGTCGAGCAGCAGAGCCGCTCGCCGACGTAAAGCCCGCTGACAGTCCGTCAGATGGAGGGGGCAGTAATTGGTACTTGGTGCCTTGCTAACATTATTTTAAGTGCTGTTTGTATTTGGAAGCTAAGCCTTCTGTCAGGCCTGAAGAACAAATTGCTAATGTGTTGGTTCTTCTCGAAAGGCCCACCCCCAAGTCCTGTGCCTTCAGGAGGTGTGACGGGCTGGCTGAGGGGGTCTGGGTGCAGATGAACCTGCATGTGAAACCTGGGTGCTCACCTGCATATGCCAGCAAGTGGGTGTTCTTTATTTTGCTAGATTCAAATAAATTTTAAAATAAGAGTCAAACAAACACCAACACCTTGATATTTTAATTCCCAAAACATCTTGTTGAATTTTAAGTGCCATCTTCAGTAGTTTGTGTGTGTTCTCATAATTATGAAGAATGAGGCTATATTCCCAGTACAGCATGCTTTTCTTTATTTTTTATTTTTTATAAGTATTTACTCAACTTTCCTTTATTAGTGCTACAGGCTAGAATCGATTCAGCCAGCGCCAACCTGACGGCAGCCATCTTTCCAGTCACTGAGGACATCATGGTCAGAGGAGAGCAGAGTGGAGGGAAGCAGGAGAGCATATGAGTTCTCCAGTGCACTCGGGGGAATTCAGATCCAGAGGCTTCCTCCTCTAGTACATTCAGAAGCCCATGAGGCCCTTAAAGCAGCAAGCAATGAGGTGGTACTGGGTGGAAAGATTCAGGAGTATGATCTTGCTGTTGGGATGTCAAAATTATTTGCAAAATCGATTCCACTAAAAGATAGATTGATTTTCTTTTTCCCGATTGAGTTTTGCAAATGTCTGTTGAAAAGGGCACCAGTCTGCTGTAGCATTCGGGTACAGACTGAGCTGAGGTCTCCCAGCAGAGTGCCCTCTCCTCACTGTGGCCCCACCGGCCCTTCTCACCTATTCTCTCGTGGGTTGTAGCGCAGCCCATGGGTTCCCTCCGAGTCGTAGCTCTCGTGGTAGGGGAGGTGGACCCACTCGGGCGGGTAGGTGGCCGTGCTGTACAAAAAGCACTGCACGCTGTCCCCCGGGAAGCCCTTGCCCTCCCACGTGAGCACTTCCACCTGCACCTTGGTGCGCTGGTACATGTCAGGGCAGCCTTCAAAGTCATCAAGGAAGCTCAGCATGCGCTCGTCCACCCTGTAGATCTCGCCCAGCACACAGTGGCCCCTGCCCGGGAGGTGAAGCAACCAGGGGATGCTGTGTTCACCAGCAATCACCAGGGGGTAAGGCTTGGCCGTGCGTCCTCGGCCCTGGAAGACTGCAGAGCCATTGGCGCAGTCCAGCAAGACTTTGTGGTTGGGCTGGCCTTGCTTCAGGGTGCCGTACACGAAGACAAGGGCCATCTGTCTGCAGGGGCTGCAGGAGAGAGGGTGCAGGCACATCATGAAGTGGGAAGAACTGCCACCCCCGCATGTGGGGTGCAAACTGAGAGAATGTCCAGCAGGCGTTGTTGGCTGGCATTCTCTCAGGGCCACTCCATGGTGCTGACCATAGACACACTGAGGATCGGGACAGCTCCCAAACTTACTCCCCCCGCCTCCATTCCTTCTCTCCCTCAGTGGGGAGTGGTCCCAGGGCCTCTGCACACTAGGCACGCAGTCTACCACTGAGCTGCATCCTTAGCTCTTTTAATTTCTTTTTAAATATTTGAGATGGGGGGTCTCCCTAAGTTGTCCAGGCTGGCCTTGAACTTGTGATTCTCCTGTCCCAGACTCCCATGTAGCAGGATTACAGGCCTACACCACTGCACCAGCTCCAATCAAACTTTCTTAATGGACACAAATTGGAAATTCTTACAATTTTTCACATGTCATGAAAGATTTTGACTTTTTTTTCAGCCATTTAAAAATGTACAAGCTATTCTTAGCTTTCGGGCCTTTTGAAGTAGCGCCAGGCCAGACCTATAGTCTGCCAACCCTTGGTCTGGAGAAGGCAAACATTTGTGATTTCAACAATCTTTCATGCATCTGAGAGAACTTTTTGGTAACCCTGATTTTCACTTTGGGACCTGTTGGCCCCCAGAGCTAAGCTCAAAGCCACAAGACACCAGTCTGCTCTAACAGGAAGATGGGGCATGCCAGACACCTCTGTGCCACCTGGCAGACTGACCCCTCCCCAGAGCCGCTCTGCACAGCCCACCCAGGTCTCCTGGCTCAGGCAGCCCAACAAGCTCATGGGGGAGCCACAGAGTCAGCATGCCACAGGGGACCTTCTTCCTGAGCTGCCCACTGAGTGCCAGCAGCCTACCAGGCGTCACCTGACAGAGGCCACCTCTCTCAAGACCACAGGCCTGACCTCTTGATACCACAAACCTCCTCACACCCACACCTCACTGGCCCATCCCCCCCAGTGGAACAGCTTCAAGGCCAGAGGACACTTGACAGGGCCCCAGCAGTGACCTGTCAGACACCTGCCCTGGTGAACAGCTGCTCCTGTGACCCTGCTCTTGACCACCATGCGGTGGGCACTGTGGTCCCAGGAAACGCCAGGCACCGTTACCGCTGCTTTCTTGGAGAAAGCAGCCCTTTCAAGACACACTTGTCTGTCTGGTGGGGAACCGCCTGGTTTCGGCCAAAGCCTTGTAGAACTTCCAGTTTCTTAAGCCACTAATTTTCAATCTTTTTAAAAGGACTTTGAAATTGGCATAATAATTATTTGTTATAGAAACATTAGGAATAATTATAAGCAAACGTATATGTAAAACAGTCCCCCGAATCCAGCCCCAGAGAGAGGGAGGTTTTGGTACCACGTCTGCGCTTGGTCCTACAGGTAGGACCACAGGCCTAGCCACGGCACCTGTGCACTTCCTTCCCCAGGTCCCAGGAGGATGGTGCCTCACGGACTCACTGTGACTGCCAGCAGCCACCCTGCCCCCGGGGAAGGTAAACACTGACTGCTCACCTGGGTCTGGGCCAGACTGTTACCTAACACAGAGAGACTCCGACAAACCTGGAGATACACTTTGAGGAGGAGCTGGGCCTCTTCAAAGCCCTGCCTCTCAGCCTCTGCAGGCTTCTTGGACAGAGGCCTTGGCGATGGGGCTCCAGGTGCAGGAGCTCAGAACACTTCCTGGGAGGGCTCGAGGTGGGGTTCAGCGGCACAGCACTGGCCTGGTGTGCAGGAGGCCGGGGCTCAATCCCAGCATAGCAAAAAAGAACCAAAAGGTGCATCGGGGGCCTGTAAATAGCTTTGCAAGAAAGTGAAACTCCCTGTCCATCCACTCCCCAGAGGCAACACTGAGTCCTATTGGATATTTCCACACTGCTGACTGCTACTCCTTATACTGCGGATCTCTCTCTCTCTCTCTCTCTCTCTCT